AATTAAAAATAGAAATAACCTATGATCCAGCCATCCCACTACTAGGAATCTATCCAACGCACCTGAAATCAACAATCCAAAGAGGCTTATGCACCCCTATGTTCATTGCAGCATTATTCACCATAGCCAAGAAGTGGAAGCAACCCAAATGTCCCTCAACGGATGATTGGATAAAGATGTGGTATATATATACAATGAAATACTACTCAGCCATAAAAAAGACAAAATCGTCCCATTTGCAACAACATGGATGGACCTGGAGGGTATTAAGTGAAATAAGCCAGGGAGAGAAAGACAAACACCACATGATCTCACTCACATGTGGAATATAAACCAACACATGGATAGAGAAAACTGTACAGTGGTTACCAGGCACAAGAGGGTTGCGGGGTGGCACGAGGGGTGAAGGGAGACATGTATATGGTGATTGGCAAACAATAACATACAACCAAAATTTCACAATGTTATAAACTATTAAGACATCAATAAAAAAATAAAAATTAATAAAGAAATAAAAAATAAGGGAAATATTTTTTAAGACACACACAAAAAATAAATAAATAAATAAATAAAACCTAATAGAAAAATAAGCAAAAGACCTAGTCATTTCATAAAAAAGGAAACTCAAGTAACCCATAAACACGTGAAAAGATGTTCAAATTTCATCAGGGAAATGCAAAATTAAGGCCACAAGAAATACCATTTCATAACTGCCAGAATGGCAATAATTAAATATATTAACTGTTGGCAAGGATGCAGAGCAAGAGAAAGTGTTATACACTGCCAGTGGGAGGGTAAATTGGTATAACCACTTGGAAAAACGTTTTGGCATCACTTAGTTAAGGTAGAAGTCGTTCATCCTCTACAGCCCAGGAATTCAGCTTCAAGATATCTACTCTGAAGTAAGTCTTGCATATGTGCCCTGGGAGATACGTGCAAGAATAGGCATAGCCACACTGTTTTTAAGAGCAAAATACCAGAAACAGTACACTCGATAAACTGTAGTATGATTCATCCTAGGGATAACTGTAATGAAAATTAAGAAACCACAGCTGCAGATACTAACATGCATGAATCTCTAAAACATAATTGTTGAGGAAAAAATTGCAGAATACATATGCATGACTCTACTTACATAAAGTACCAAAAAAGCCAAAAGGAACAAAATATTGTTTAAAGATATAAATGTATTTGGTAAAACTGTAAAGACAAGCAAGGAATTTTGGATAGTGGTTAACCCTGGGGGCAGGGAGCAGTATGTAATCAGGGAGAGACATCCAAAGAGGCTTCCAGAATACTAGTGTTGTTTTACTATTCTTTAAAATGTATATGCACGATATACATGTTTTATGAAACAATATATAAGGCAATGTAAACTTTAAATAAATCTGAAAAACATAGCCTGTAATTTTAAGAACCTAACCCAAGAGTTTATGCTTTTGCATATTCCATGTATTATTTCAACTTTCTGATAATGTGAAGTATAGTTCAAAATATTCAAAGTCCCTATCACATAGATGGATTTATCTTCCAAAAGTTCATGTCTAAGTGGGTTATTTTTAACTCAGAACAGATTTGCCCACAAAAATAATGCTGGATTTCCAGTAGCCCCCAAAAGTGAAGGCAGTGTGCAATACAGCGGAACTGACCCATCCCTCGTGCCCTGCCCACGCCTTCCCCCCGGCTCCGCGGAGCCCTGTAACCTGGTCAAGGTCCCGCGCTGGGAAGCGGGATCTGAACCCGGCTCCAACCCACTCGCAGTCGTGGCTTCTCCTCGCACTACTCTTTATTCAGGGAAAAGCTTTTTAGAAATCTCTTCTCTCTCTCCTGATAAATAAGCCAACATCGGGCTAACAGGCAGGAGGGGGGACGAGGGGTTAACCCCGCAGGTTTCGGTCCCAGAACAGTTCGGGGGAGTCGGGGCGGTCGGGCCGCGCAGCCGCGTCTCCGGCGGTGCCAAGGGGCCGAGCAAAAGAATCCGGTCCTGGATCGTGTCACCACCCCCGGGAACGGTCCGATCCCGCCCGCCGAGCGCTGGCTCGGCCTCCGGGGGCGCGTCCGGGGGCCGCGGCGCCCGCCCGGGTCTGGGGGTCCAGGAGACCCCGGCTGCCGCCCGCCCGCCCGCCTACCCGCGCGCTGTGCGGACAGTAGCTCTTGCTGAAGATCATCACTCGGCTGCCCTCGATCAGGCCCAGGAGGCGGCGCCGCAGCTCCTCGCGGGCCTCGGCGGACGAGCGGCCGGCCCCGGGGGACGACAGGCGGGCCCGGCGCC